GATATAATCCGTGTACACATAGATTGTGAAACGTTACAGAAACAAAATATATCTGTTCTGGGTTGCAATGCTGCTATAATTCGACGGTGCGCTATATTCACAAGAAAGAAACCCATTATCAGTAGGATAATTTTGATTTTTATCATCTGTATCTTATTTTTGAAGGGGGGGGGTGAATTTTGAATTTGAAGAAAGCTTTCACACAGTGAAGGAAAAGGGTTTTTTTTTTGTTTTGTTGAACTCAACGCTGGAAGATTTTCAGGAATATTTCAGTATCAAAACCTCTCCTTTACATTAATAACAGCTTCTAACGCCCTTCTTTTGCCTCTGATATTTTTCTTTAACCTCATGGATGCAAAAGCTCCCTCTCACCCCCTCCCCCTCCTCTCTAAAAAAGCGGGCAAAATGCAGAAAATTACACAAGTATATACGCAAAAGAATATTAAATGGTTGGTTCAACGCGACTCAACTCACTGATAGAATTTACATCTTCGTAACGTCTTGTCGTAAATCTAAGGATGAGTATAGCTATCAACCGAAATTGTTTCCAATCGGCATGCTTGTTTTAGTATCCTTATGTGTACAGGCAAATCGCACATCTTGTTATTTTAAAACTAGGCTGCGGGGCGATTATTGAAATGTCATCGACTCTATGTCGCCGCTTACGACAAGACATAGCCCTATCTTAACCGTGCAATATATCGCAATTCGATGTCTTATCGGGCTGGTTTAAATTTCAATAATCGGCTCGCAAGTCATTCACCACTTTAAATTTAACAAATCTACTTAGTTATCAGTTTGCTAGTAAGTGTGCACACCATTCGTTTTCACTTTTTTCAGAAATGACTCGCCTTCTTTAAAAAAGAAAATCGAGTCTATGTTATGATCGAGTCTACTTTTTTTTGTGTTCTGATCATTTCATGTCTATCCAATCGAGACCAGTTTTTACTTAATTGTAAATCGAATCGCTGTCAATCGATTTACGATATCCGGAACGACACCCACCTAAGTTATTACAACTTGAAAATGCATCTTTATTTACATTGAAAGTCTTAATTTGACGGTATAGAATTAGTATTTTTGAATAACGAGAAGAGAAAGACGCCATGCTGCATCCTAAGGTCGAGAAAGTATTGGAAATAAAAAGAGCAGGGCCGGATTAAGGGGGTAGCCACATGGGCCGCGGCCCATGGGGCCATGGCGGCAAATCTACAGGGGGCGGAAAATTTTGCAATTTTTGTAAATATAGGTATAAAAAAAATCGGATTTAGAAAAAAAATTACTAACGAGAAAAGGCGACAAAATCTCTCATTTCCTGAGAGTATAGTAATTTCTAACTTTGTCGTCTTTCAGTGATACAAGAGATAGCACCTTCAATTAGTCGAGTTAAGAGAGAAACCAAACCCGCAATTTGGCCTGGGACGGCGCGACTTAGAGAGAAATGATGACGAGGACTTGAGATGAAAAGGAGAAGCCCTCCGCGTGGCGCGGCGGTCGGCATGTAACACATATTAGCGCCTACAAGACTGCACGAATACTTCACGCATTGCACCAAACACAGTCCGGTCATTGCGGTCAGCGTGAAACGGATAGCGCCTACAAGAATGCATGAATACTGCACGCATTGCGGCAAACACAGTGCGATCAGCGTGAAACGCATAGCGCCTACAAGACTGCGTGAATACTTCACGCATTGTGCCAAACACTGTGCGGTCTGCGCGGCGCGGCGGCGGAAGTTAAAATCATTAATCCACATTTATGTTTGTTCTTTTATAATTTTTCGTTCATTTCTTATGCATGGAAGGCCTTGTCCACCCAGAGATAGGTTTACGAAACTTAACTTTTGTGCAAAGTTCCGTGAACTTTCGCTAGTAATGTTGCCAGGGCTTTCCCAAAAAATGTGTTCAACACGAGTAAACGCGTATTATGCACCCTTCCCCCGCTGGCACGTTCACTTGATGGTTTTTATTGATGTTTCAAAACGAATGAGAAGGGGGCGGCAAAATACAGGCGGTCCATGGGTGGCAAGTAGGTAAATCCAGCCCTGAAAAAGAGGAGGAACGGATAGAAGAGAAGAAATGGATAGAGCAAACGGTGAGCCATGCGGAAAATTTGGACTTTAAAGTGTCACGCGCACCATATTAATGATGCAGCACATATCGCCGACGAAACAATTGATGTATAGTTTTTCCGGTTAAGCCGTCTGGTGTTTGAAACTCCCAATAAAGTGCAACGATGACACTGTACTCTGGTACCTGATGCACGGATAAAAACGCATGCTAGTGGTTTTAGATTCCGCACTAATTTGATCCACCTGAAGCAGGATTAACACTGCAGAACACCAAGTACCTACTAAGCCATCATCTTTCTAGGGATTACATGAAGCTAGAAATCTGTGAAAACTAAAATTAATTTCTTCCGTTTAATCACGTAATATTCAATGAGTGGCCATTTTTACCACCCGCAGCACATTTTAAAGTGTCTTTGGTGTGTATCGTTTCTGCCGTGAATATTTTAAAGAAGACTGACCTTTTTTTAAAAAAAAGAGAGGAAATGAGAAAGAGACTCTATCCATTAAAATTTCTCATAGAACTCTAAGCAGATTGATATTCTAAGTAATATGGTCAGCATGAGGTCAAATAAGGTGTGACAAACTTATTGATATCGGTTAGGATAGGTCAGGTGTTTCTTCGTTGAATTGAATTGGATAGGTACATGAAATAGGAACATCCCTGTGTTACATTGTGCAAAACTGCAAGGGAAAATCTCTGCTGGAGTTCAAAGGATTAGAGTACATTGATTCAAAACGTTCAAATCCTCTATTAACTGCGTTACGGAATTCAGAAGTCTCCCGGACAATAATGGAATGCTCATCAAGGATAGCAAGCAGCATTTACAGTCCTGTCTTGGCCACGCCCTTAAAACTCCATAGGAAATTATCAACTGTGAAATAATGGAGGATTTAAGTCAACAGGTGCTCATGATTTGATTTGACAAAGAATCAGTTGAGGAGAATAATTCAGCTATAATTCACAGAAATGCTGTTACTGAAAGTGATCTAGCTCAGCTTTAAGCGTCTCGATGAGCACCAAGAACCAGAAAGCAGTGACCGTGGAAATATGTAATAATTGGCAAATTGGAGCATTTAAAGTTACATATCGACGGTGAAACTACCAAACCACGTATCTCGGTTTGCGACGTCGCAGACTTCCTGTCATACTTTATTTTTTAAATGAAAAACTACTTAACATCCAGTCTTGAAAATTTCTGTGATTTTTCCTCTTTGTGCGGAGAAAATTCCGTGAAAATTTCAAGGAATGATATTGATTTGGTCTACTTCAAAAAAATAAAATGTGAGCGTAGATTTTTAAACACCGCAAACGAGATACGTGGTTTGGTAGTTTCACCGTCGATATATCCTTGTTTTAGTCGCATTACATTTTTAACCAAACGACGGTACCTACGAATATGAACATTTAAATCACAACTATCACTTTTTACGGCACTGCTTTGTTGATGAATAATCAACTTCTGATCAACATTTTCATCGACAAATAATACTCACAGTTTTACTCCGTTTGACCTGTCCATGTTTGTCAACAGGCCTCAGAACCTCAAAAATTTCATGATTTGTCCGAGTTATGATTATAGGAAAATTTGATTAAAACGTTGATAATACCTAGTACAATTACAATTTGACCGATATATATTTACTTTACATAATTGGGAGTGATTCGCGAAAATTGAGTGTCGGGATGGACATCGGGATAAGACAGGATAATGAAACTCGGTACATCAGGGTGAAACTATAGAGATGTAGGATAACACGAAATTTAAGTAATCTCCTTCCGTTCGGTAAAAAGTTATTATTATTGTCCGTCTCACGAGCTCGTGTTGCCTACACTGAAAATTGAAGGCAAACTAACATTACGATAAAGTAACCTCTCCTCATTTGGCAAATCTCCTATTTGTGAGTGTACAAAGTGATCTTGCCCCTCACGATGATTTATTTATTTGACCACGCGGGAGCTCGTGTTGCCTACACTGAAAAGTGAAGGCAAGCTGAACGTGACAATAAAGTAATTTCTCCTTGTTTGGTAAAAATCTCTTATATGTAGGTGGCCCGAGTGATCGTGATTCGTGATGGCGCCTTTTTAAGATGATACCAATATTCGACCACGTGGGAGCTCGTGTTGCCTACACTGAAAATTGAAGGCAAACTGACACGACGGGCGCACCATTGAAAATTTTGCATAAAGTGCTCCTAGATGACCAGAGAGATGAGCGCGGGGTAAAATATAATATTTTTACGGTGTATATGCTCCATTACTAACGGAGCGGGATGAATTGTTTTTAATGAGTCTCTCTCTTACGATGCACTAATCGTAAATCAATCATCCCAATCATCTATAATCGTGGCACTCTAGTTTTTTGGGAGAGTAAATAGGGTCAGTGCAGTAAAATGCATTCCTGGTTTCACTCCGAAATTTTTCACAGTGAAATCGGCTTGCGATCTCAATCAGCCCCAAAGGCTAGGGTTCAAAAGCTTTAGTCTCTGGGTCTTCTCCACATCCCCACTTTTTCTGATGATATACGGCAAAAAAGACTCCTCTGAAAATCACCTCGAGAATGAAATCACTCAACCTGCCGAGTGGGCGGCGCTGATCTAGTTAGGCGGATTGCACATCGAAGGCGCAACATTGTACTCACCTACAATTTAACCTGGCTCTGACTTCGTAGACCGACTTCATAGCCTGGTAACCATCGAGTCGTCTTATAATAGCTCAATGAGCCCTGCCCAGCGTCTGCTGAAAATTGAGACCCGAGGGCCTCAGCGGCAACGACGCTGTGCAGCCACAATTTCTCGTTCTGAAACGCCACTCTCTCTACAGATTCAGTCCCTATTCCTCGAAACCCTCCCCCCTCGCCCTCGGCCCGGATCTCCCACTCCGCGCCTGGCGAACGGCTCTCACGCCGAGCAGCGTGGCGCTACACCTGGCCCGCTACACTCCATTCCGCCATCCGCGAGTATTACACGAGTCACCTAACCTCACAACCGATCGCCATCCGAGCGCGGCCCAATAAATCCCCCTGCCCCCTGTCATCCCCCCCCCCTTCGGCGAGGGTCCCGCGTGCGTTTGTTTTGTTTCCGTAGCTTCATTGTCAGTGATACGGAGTGTGTGTCAACAAATCGGCCCGAAATTCGTTTACGTCACAGTTTTCGAGAAGTAGAGCGCTTGTGCCGCTCCGCAACCGCAAACAATCCTCGCTCGATTCGCTAAACAAATCCGGCGGCCGGCAAATTGTTGGGATTCGAGTGAATTTTTCGAGGAGGAAAAAAAAATCCGATGGAAATGGAGATGAGCGAGCTGTTTGACCGCTGTCGAGTGGACCGTCTGGTTTTGTGATAGTTCGGCTTCGGATACTCGGGGTGTGTTTGTTCGTCGGGAAACGGAGTTAATTTCGGCGACTGCTCGATTCGCAGTTATGTCAGTTTAGTGTGCCCGAGGAATAACAGGGATTTAAGCATACCAAGCTCCTTGGATATCTAGCGCTCCGTTTTTACCATTTACAACCAACGTAAGTTACACTATGCTCTGCTCAACCATTTATTATCCTCTTGAATTAAGGCTCTGAAGCATTCAAGCAAGAAGAGGAGGAGGGGGGTCATGTTGCGGGTAAATCAAGCAGAACCTTAATGCGGGGTTCTAACTGCTCTCCCTGCCTCATCTGAATCTGATGCATCCTCATTTACAGAGGGTAAATCACTTAGAGTTGCGTGAAAAAAAAAACCCTGCAAAAAAGCAAGTAGTCAATAGAAATACATCAATGGTTAAAGTCTGAAACCACGTATCTCCATTTTGGTGTTTCAAAATCTCTGCTCCTATTTCATTTTTTCAAAGAGAAAAAAGTCAACTACACAGCTTGAAATTTCTACGGAATATTCTCTTGATATAGGAGAAAAACCAATGCAATTTTCAAGAAATGAAGTTGACTAGCTTTTTAAGACAAAATAAACTATATCGAAAAGTCTGCAACGTCGCAAACGGAGATACGTGGTTTCGCACTTTGGCCATCGACACGGAAATCATCCTATTTCAACTCTGAGTTAGTCAGGCAAGAATCAGGCACCATAAAGTTTGTGACGCGTACCGACTGAAGACAGTGCAAATTTTTTACTGATCCCTTTTTCTTTTACTCCATAAGCTGTAATTTCAGCCGTATTAACAAAAAAGTTTGACGCGTTATCTGTCCAAAACCTGTATCACATGCTGCAAGGTATTTTCTGTAGCAATATCAAAGCAAGTAAACTTTTTTTAGAATTACAGGAATTCGAGTTTCAGATACTTAGTAAAATCGCCAACTGATTCGCAAACTTTGTCACAGGGAGGAAGATGATTCAGGTGTAGTTGTCTATCTAAATCAATCCAGAATATTATAAGGAATAATACTCGATGAGTGCTTGCATATGCGTGAGCATTACGCGGCCAGTGCCGCCAAATTGGTGAAAAAATGTAAAGATTTACAGCGTTTTAACGTGGAGTAGAGGAATTACACGGAGACGGCAAGCCTGATTTTGACATTGATCGCACTCTCACTATTTAGAAATATTGTACAGACTGCAACTTTTTTAGTTTCATCATTCAAGGAAAAAAAGTTTGTTGACGCACATGGAGTAGGCCAGAGGCAAAAAGAGGCAGAACCTGTTTTAGATGCGGCACTGTTAGTTCTCGATCGATAGTCATCGACGCAGACTTTCTCGGCCAAAAAAAAATAAAAAATAAGAAATGACTGACATAAAAAATGAACAGTAAAAACTGGAGATTGATCCATACGTTTAAGTAAGTACCACTGCGATAAACTTAATCGAGGGGACTCAAAAAGAGAAATCTAAAGAAAAAAAGCTTCTGCTTTGAATTATATTGAAATGATTTTTAAACTCATCACTTGATAGTTTATCGCGCGTTTGATATCGTTGGTAGACATTGAGCAGGGGGCTGCATCCTTTGGCTACGTGGCTTAACTCTCAGAGAGCGCTTGGCACCCTTTGAGGTCCCATTCGCGGGGGCGGGGCCCCATGAGTTGTTCTAAATAGAGCGGGCTCATCTAGGGACTGTCTGTTATCGATAACCGCGTAAATCACAAAAATCCGCCCGGTAGAACGATCGAACGAATGGTGACAAAAAATGAGCATTAAAATTGTTTAAATGGAACAATTATTCAGAACTTCATCACGTCAAGTTAAATAGCCTGGGTTGTATTTCCAAAATCTGAAAAAGACGGGTTCATAAAGGGACAATTATCTATCGATAGCTGCAAAAATCGCTAAAATTGGTCCAGTGAAACGGTAGAACGGACTGTGACAAAAAATGAGAATTCAGGGGATCAGGAAGCTTATAGTAATGCCGATCGAGAATTGGAACTAGGTTGAGGGAGCATTAGATCCCTAGACAGCAAGTTCGCGTTTCAGTGTTGGTAGTCCTTCTTTCTAGGCGAGACAAAGACTCGTAAGAGTTAATTTTTAAGTGGTTAAGACGTCTTAGTTCATCGTATCTGGAGGAGGAATGTCTCTGCACAGAAGAGGGCGTGAAAACAACTTTTTTACACCAAAGGCTGCCAACCGTGAGAGCTTCGTCAAGCTGCGAAAGCAGTCGAGGACGCAGAGATTTTGCGATTTCAGACGCCCGTTTCCAGCGTTGTCTTTTTGCACGGAGTTGTGTCCCCCTGTACAAACGAATCAAAGAACGAAGATATCTAAATGTTAAAAGGATCTAATGAGCTAGATGGGGTATATTTTGCTTGAGTTTTATACTTGTTGCATATATTAGTTATTGTAATAAATTGATTCTGCAAGACCGGTTGCATCCAAAATTTACAATCTTTTAAAGCAGGGAAGGGGATATCCATTTTAAATGTTTGAGGCTAGGGTCAGAAGGCCTCTGCAAGAATATCCGTCCTCAAAGGGTTCAATGTAAGACGAATTGGCAAAAATCCTATATTTTTCCAGTGTCCCATGTTTTTTTAAAGTCTAGTGAGACTGAAAGTGACAGGCATTTTTTTAAGCCTCTGTTCAAGTATGAGTTCGGTTTCATGATTGTCCATAAAATTAGGTTAGATTCGCTAGTAAATATTCTTTCATAGTTCCTGCACAACATAGATTATTCGATTCTATCTACTATGCCAATTATTATTATTTATTATACAGCTTCATGAAGCTCGCGTAAAAATACAAGTTTGCAATTTACTCTGTTCGAGTTGACTCTGTGCTCGGAACAGAGGCGGAGTAATTCTCTTGAGCTATTACCTCCACTTTCTTGAAATCATAAACTATTGCACTCTTTGACCTTTGACATTCAGGCGCACGATGTGCTGTAGCTGGTGCGGAGCCGTGGTAAAACGCCGCGAAGCTTACGTACAGTAGTCTAACCAACATTGTTGCTATGTGGTATCAATATTGCAGGTGTTTTTAAAAATAAAATTGTCGTGATCCGGAATGAAGTGTATAATTCAATCTGATATGAGTTGAGTGAACGTAATAGGTACTTTTAATTGAGAATTTATAGAGGTAGAAAAAGGTGCATGTCTACATTGCAAATAAGTCCGTTCCTTTTGGCACCATAAATCATAAAAATATCAAGAGATGTATTCCCCGCGTCAAAAATGAAAGGAAATAAGATGCGTTCGAGACGCTCCTCGCCAGGAAGGTTGCAGACGTTGAAATTATCCTCGTGAAGTTTTCACAGATAATCACTTAATAAGAGAGAATAGAAAAGATATGAAAAATCACTTAAATTTTAAAAAAAAGTGACGTTCAGTAATTTTCCATGTAGAAAATAAAGTACGACAGGAAGTCTGCAATGCCGCAAACCGAGTTATGCGTCTCTGCAGTTTCACCATTAACTTCTAAACATTTTTAAAATGCCGTGAAAATTCATATAACACGTATTTGGTTATTTCTGAAAATTGAAAGGAAGTCATTTAAAAGTTTCATATATACTACCTCCGATGTTTTAGGAAGGTTCCCAACACTTTATCGGAAACAAATTGGCGTGTTAAGAAAGTACTGTAGAACTTGAAGAGTTTTTATACCATTTTGTCACTGAAATCATAAACCTCTCGTCAATGCCTTTGCGTAAAAAACGTGCAGAAAGGGCCGCATTTAAAGTAGATTTTGCTCTTTTTTAAAGACTACTTACTTATACTTACTTACTTACTTACTTACTTACTTACTTACTTCCTTCCTTTTTTCCTTCCATCCTTCGTTCCTTCCTTCCTTCCGAACACGGAGAAAAAAACCTCGTGCGTTGGACCCGAAGTTTAGGTCATATGGATCTCTGAAGTTTTCAGATTGAGCATCTGAACACTTTAGATCTAGCTGTCGAGGTTCGGATCATACATCTGAAACTTCAGTTCTTACATCTGAAGTACTTCAAATGTGAGAACCGAAATTTTTCGGATGTGAGAACCGAAGTTTTTCGGTTGTGGAAACCGAAGTACTTCAGATGTAAGAACTGAAGTTTCAGATGTGTGATCCGAACCTCGACAGCTAGATCTAAAGAGTTCAGATGCCCAATCCGAAAACTTCAGAGATCCGTATGACCTAAACTTCGGGCCCCACGCACGAAGTTTTTTTCTCCGTGTACTTCCTTCCTTCCTTCCTTCCTTACTTCCTTCCTTCCCTTCCTTCCTTCCTTACTTCCTTCCTTCCCTTCCTTCCTTCCTTACTTACTTCCTTACTTACACACTTTACTCACTTATTCTCGTAAAGATGTTTACCAAGCGATGCTACAAGGACCACGTACAACAAATGAAGACTCAAAAAAAAGGTGCGTGCGGTGGAGGTGAAAAAAAGGTGGAGTATACGTCAATGGAAAATCTACTGATCTGGTATAAAGACATCAGTACAGCAGTGTAGTGGAGCCAATTATTCAAGCCGGCAATAACGTCGGTATTCCTTCTGGTGTTTGCGTCTTGAGCCTTTTTTTCTTTTTGCTTTTTTACTTTGAATGATTGGCTGACCTTTCATGAAATCAGATCGTGGATGCTGGCAGCGCGAGGTAGACTCGAGCGCTCGACAATAAGGCGAGAAAATGAATCCGGATAGAGACACCCTATGCCTTAATGCCTTAATGCCTTAATGCCTTAAGGTTAACAGAACCGTTTTCCTCAAGGCCGTCGTTTAGCGTTTGTGCCACGAAATGTCCCGATTAGTAGGTGGAGATATAGAGGCTAAAACATTCTTGTCGTTTCGCGTGGAAATCTCCTGCTTTTTCTCAGAAAATAAGAGGGTGGAGTATTTTCCTTGTCAGTTACACAGGCGTAGTCACTCACAAACTAAAAGCTTCAGAAGCACGAGAGAAGTCTGCCACCACCGCACGGTCAATCAAGATCTTTTCTTTCTGTCCAAGACAGTTTCGAATGTCAGAGGTGAAGGCTTTTCAGATATGTATATTCACGAGCCACCTCGTAAATTTAAAACTTTTTTTTTCATTCTGTTTACCCTCATTTTTTCGCGGATCAACCTATTTAGGGACCTAATTTATTTATTATTCCTCTTTATGTGTTTATTTTTTCTCTCC